AAAGAGTGTAACAGGGATCAGATGGTAGAGGATGCCTTCTACATTGACCTCACACTGGACCACTGACCATTCCTCAGCAATTAGGGTGCAGATCAGTGAGTGCGAGAGTTCAATCCACAGCAAACACACAGGCCTATTCTTGGTGTCAATCTAGTGCTGGGGTGGGCAACCTTTCTTCTGCCAGGGGCCATTTGGATATATTTATAACATCATTAGAGGGCCATACATAATTATCAACTTAAAAATTAGCCTGCTATGTTTAGTCAAATATTAATTAACTCACCCCTAGAGCCTTGGCAGGGCAGACCAAATGATTTCTCGAGCCTCATACGGCCCGAAGGCCGGATGTTTCCCACCACTGCTCTGGTGAGAGCAAAAAACAGTGCTATACCACTCTAAGGCTATGCTAGATGAAGCTCTCAATTGATCATACAGCATGTCCAGAGTTATTTAAATGGGGAGAAAACAGAAGTGAAAGGTGCCAAACAGTGCCTGCCAGGACAACATCCACACGAATGATAATTCAGTTAGGCCATATTTTAAAAAGTGAGGTGGGATATAACCCAAAGAAAAACTCATTCTTTTTTTTTTTTCCTTTTGGCACAATAAGACAAAGAAAAAATCTGAGCAGCCCCTGAAAACTGAAAAGCACAATAGAATTCTAAGAAAAGACTTGAAGATAATAACACTGGAAATACTATAGGAGAGAAAAAAAGAAGAAGAAGAAAACTAAGGTGGCAAGTTAGCACACACTTTGAAACATTCAATAACGACATGGTACATTAAGATTGGAGAATGATTTGCTTTTTCAGTTAGCAAATTCCAGAACCCTCAATGCCACCTGCTGGCAAAGCAAGAGGCAATGACTTTATGACTTCAGCTGTACTCATAAGCTTTATTATCTCTTTGATGTTTCCTCAGAGGCAGCAAATTACTCACATCTTTCTGAAACTCTATTAATTTTTATCTTTCATGTTTAATTTAACCTTAGCATAAAAATATTTGGATTATATAATATAATGGTATAAAAGAGAAAAATAGGGCATTTTTCAACTGCTCATATATGACTTATCAGGTTAACGATTATTTTTTCATTCAATTAATTCATACTCTCACTATAGGAAACAGTTTCAATGATAAAAAGACATAGCCTTAATGTTCAAATTACTTGATTTAACCAAGTAGAGAGTGTTCTAAGCATATATAATCCACTGGCAAACTGTGAAACCATCCTTACGAAAGAGATAAAGGAGAAAACAAAACTATAATATGCCTTTCATTGAGAAGGCAATAAATCCAGTCATTTTGAAAATTTTAACTGGTCAATTGATTGGCTGAATGCACAAAGTAATTTATCTTGTCAATTTGAAGAACAATTTTTGAAAATACCAAAAGGAAAGGATCTAAAATAGTTAAAAATTTAAATAATATATAGTTAGCTCTAATCAGACTAATAAGATGAAGAAAAATATATGCCATATTCTATATTCAAATATTCTGTTTATGTAAGTATCTTTCAAGTATATCAAGTAAAAATACGAGTCAGAATTTCTCTTTGAAATTTGAAATATATATATAAGGGCAGAGTAAAATCCAATTAATTTCCACCAGAAAATGTTAAATAAATAATAAAACATTTATTTATTGGGGGGATATTAGAAAGCTTAAAGACAAAGTTGTCTTTAAAAATAAACCATAAGGGACCCAGAGTATAATGTTCCTGGATATAAATGAACTCAGGAGTTAATGAAAACAATGTGCTTTATCTAAGAGTGAAAGAGGGGTTGGGAGGAGAAATCAAAGAACAATGTTCTAGGTAATATTTAATGACTGTACTATGGAACTCAAAAGAAGTTAAAACTCAGAGCAGGTCACCATGCAAATGTCAACACAAAGGTCATTCAAGCTATAATGTCAACCAAAACCAATATTTTAATTATGCTCCTTTGGAATCCCTTTCCATAAATTTTATGTACTTTCCCTAAACTCATAAAGTTATAAAAGTACTTCTTACCTTTGAGTCCCATCATAAGTTACAGTCTCAATGTAATCAAACCGGGAGTCAACCCAGTAAACACGCTTTAATACCAAATCCAGAGTTATCCCAGCAGGCCATCCCAGCTTTGTTTTAACCAAATCTTTACGGTTAGTGCCATCCATGAAAGCCCTTTCCACCGTAGGTCCACCAGAAAAGCTGTCCAAATCTGAGAAAAATAAATATCTACAAAAGAAAAACAAAAGAAAGGAAAGAGTCAGTTACTTTACAAGCTTATCTGAAATATTTGTTTATTTTTGTTTAGATCAATGGAAATTTCCTCCAGCTGATTAGAGAATTGGGGATATAAAATAACAGAGAAATTAAAAAGCATTAGAAATCAGAAACTAAGAAGGCCAATCAGGAGAGGCAACAATTCCAAATAACAACTACTAAAATGCACTACCATGGTAGCCTAAAAATTCATATCCACCCTCCTAACTTTCTCCCCTGTCCCCTGGCTTTTTCACTTCTATTGTATAAAATAACAGAGAAATTAAAAATCAGAAACTAAGAAGGCCAATCAAGAGAGGCAACAATTCGAAATAACAACTACTAAAATGCACTAACATGGTAGCCTAAAAATTCATATCCACCCTCCTAACTTTCTCCCCTGTGCCCTGGCTTTTTCACTTCTATTTTTTACACCCAAGAAAGCTTACAAATATATTTTAAAATAGCTATCAAGCCATTTTCCTCCTCCATTCCCAATTCTAAGGCTTAGTCTATAGAACATATCCATTTTCAAGGAAGAACAGCAGGTATCAGGAAGTAGGAATGAATAATCACCATTCGCCAACGCTATAGTAGCCTCACGTTTATTCAAGGTTCCTAAGACAGCTGAGAGAAA